GTGTTGTTCCTGTGTTAAGGTGTTGTTCCTGTGTTAAGGTGTTGTTCCTGTGTTAAGGTGTTGTTCCTGTGTTAAGGTGTTGTTCCTGTGTTAAGGTGATGTTCCTGTGTTAAGGTGCTGCTCCTGTGTTAAGGTGTTGTTCCTGTGTTAAGGTGTTGTTCCTGTGTTAAGGTGTTGTTCCTGTGTTAAGGTGTTGTTCCTGTATTAAGGTGTTGTTCCTGTGTTAAGGTGCTGCTCCTGTGTTAAGGTGCTGCTCCTGTGTTAAGGTGTTGTTCCTGTGTTAAGGTGTTGTTCCTGTGTTAAGGTGTTGTTCCTGTGTTAAGGTGTTGTTCCTGTGTTAAGGTGCTGCTCCTGTGTTAAGGTGCTGCTCCTGTGTTAAGGTGTTGTTCCTGTGTTAAGGTGTTGTTCCTGTGTTAAGGTGCTGCTCCTGTGTTAAGGTGTTGCTCCTGTGTTAAGGTGTTGTTCCTGTGTTAAGGTGTTGTTCCTGTGTTAAGGTGCTGCTCCTGTGTTAAGGTGCTGCTCCTGTGTTAAGGTGTTGTTCCTGTGTTAAGGTGTTGTTCCTGTGTTAAGGTGCTGCTCCTGTGTTAAGGTGCTGCTCCTGTGTTAAGGTGTTGTTCCTGTGTTAAGGTGTTGTTCCTGTGTTAAGGTGTTGTTCCTGTGTTAAGGTGCTGCTCCTGTGTTAAGGTGTTGTTCCTGTGTTAAGGTGTTGTTCCTGTGTTAAGGTGTTGTTCCTGTGTTAAGGTGCTGCTCCTGTGTTAAGGTGTTGTTCCTGTGTTAAGGTGTTGTTCCTGTGTTAAGGTGCTGCTCCTGTGTTAAGGTGTTGTTCCTGTGTTAAGGTGTTGTTCCTGTGTTAAGGTGTTGTTCCTGTGTTAAGGTGTTGTTCCTGTGTTAAGGTGTTACTCCTGTGTTAATGTGTTGTTCCTGTGTTAAGGTGTTGTTCCTGTGTTAAGGTGCTGCTCCTGTGTTAAGGTGCTGTTCCTGTGTTAAGGTGTTGTTCCTGTGTTAAGGTGTTGTTCCTGTGTTAAGGTGTTGTTCCTGTGTTAAGGTGCTGCTCCTGTGTTCCTGTGTTAAGGTGCTGTTGCTCCTGTGTTAAGGTGTTGTTCCTGTGTTAAGGTGTTGTTCCTGTGTTAAGGTGTTGTTCCTGTGTTAAGGTGCTGCTCCTGTGTTCAGGTGCTGCTCCTGTGTTAAGGTGTTGTTCCTGTGTTAAGGTGTTGTTCCTGTGTTAAGGTGTTGTTCCTGTGTTAAGGTGCTGCTCCTGTGTTAAGGTGCTGCTCCTGTGTTAAGGTGCTGCTCCTGTGTTAAGGTGTTGTTCCTGTGTTAAGGTGTGTTCCTGTGTTAAGGTGTTGTTCCTGTGTTAAGGTGCTGCTCCTGTGTTAAGGTGCTGCTCCTGTGTTAAGGTGTTGTTCCTGTGTTAAGGTGTTGTTCCTGTGTTAAGGTGTTGTTCCTGTGTTTGTTCCTGTGTTAAGGTGCTGCTCCTGTGTTAAGGTGCTGCTCCTGTGTTAAGGTGCTGCTCCTGTGTTAAGGTGTTGTTCCTGTGTTAAGGTGTTGTTCCTGTGTTAAGGTGTTGTTCCTGTGTTAAGGTGCTGCTCCTGTGTTAAGGTGCTGCTCCTGTGTTAAGGTGTTGTTCCTGTGTTAAGGTGCTGCTCCTGTGTTAAGGTGCTGCTCGTGGCTGGGTAAACACACTCTCGCACATGAGGGGGGAGGGGGTATCGGGGTCTGGTAGCTGAGTGGACAGCGCGCATGACTCATAATTCTGTGGCCTGGGTTCGATTCCCCGATGAGGCAGAAACATATGGGCAAAGATTCTTTCACCCTGAAATTCCCCCCCTGTTACCTAGCAGTAAATAGGTACCTGGGAGTTAGTCAGCTGTCACGGAGCTGCTTCCTGGGGGTGTGTTTAAGAAAAAAATTAGTAGTTAGTAACAGTTGATTGACAGTTGGGAGGCGGGCCGAAAGAGCAGAGCTCAACCCCCGCAAGCACAACTAGGTGAACACACACACACACACACACACACACACACACACACACACACACACACACGCACGCACGCACGCACGCACACACACACACACACACACACACACACACACACACACACACACACACACACACACACACACACACACACACACACACACACACACACACACACACACACACACACACACACACACACGCACACACACACAAACGCCCTAGAGCACTATCTGTTGATTTAGCGACGAGACACACCATCCAGGACCTAGCGGCTCATAACGTTACATATATGGGCTTCCAGGCCAGACTTGTGATAACTTAATCCATCAGACTGTTGCTCAGATACGGTCCCGGTACATTGGGGAATTGAGACCAGACCAGCAGAACCTGCAGAGCAAAATGGAGAAGTGAGGAGAGATGTGGTGTTGATCCACAGGCTGCTGGGCCTCGCGACCTCCAGCGTGTGCAAAAATGACCTCATGAAATCCATAAAGCAATTTAATCCTTGTCGAATTTTAATCTCCCGTCTTGCGTAAATCTCAAGGACATTACACAGGATTACAAAGGACATTATTTACAGGATTATAAGGACATTATTTACTGGATTATATGGACATTATTTACTGGATTATATGGACATTATTTACAGGATTACAAGGATATTATCTACGGGATCACAAGGACATTATTGCGAAGTGATGACTACGATATGAGCTGGTGACTGTTCAGTATACCGCCCTGGTGACTGTTCAGTATACCACCCTGGTGACTGTTCAGTATACCGCCCTGGTGACTGTTCAGTATACCACCCAGGTGACTGTTCAGTATACCACCCAGGTGACTGCTCAGTATACCACCCAGGTGACTGTTCAGTATACCACCCAGGTAACTGCTCAGTATACCACCCAGGTGACTGTTCAGTATACCACCCAGGTAACTGCTCAGTATACCACCCAGGTGACTGTTCAGTATACCACCCAGGTAACTGCTCAGTATACCACCCAGGTGACTGTTCAGTATACCACCCAGGTAACTGCTCAGTATACCACCCAGGTGACTGTTCAGTATACCACCCTGGTGACTGTTCAGTATACCACCCTGGTGACTGTTCAGTATACCGCCCTGGTGACTGTTCAATATACCACCCTGGTGACTGTTCAGTATACCACCCAGGTGACTGCTCAGTATACCACCCTGGTGACTGCTCAGTATACCACCCAGGTGACTGTTCAGTATACCACCCAGGTGACTGCTCAGTATACCACCCTGGTGACTGCTCAGTATACCACCCTGGTGACTGTTCAGTATACCACCCAGGTGACTGTTCAGTATACCACCCAGGTGACTGTTCAGTATACCACCCAGGTGACTGCTCAGTATACCACCCTGGTGACTGCTCAGTATACCGCCCTGGTGACTGCTCAGTATACCGCCCTGGTGACTGTTCAGTATACCACCCTGGTGACTGCTCAGTATACCACCCTGGTGACTGTTCAGTATACCACCCAGGTGACTGTTCAGTATACCACCCTGGTGACTGTTCAGTATACCACCCTGGTGACTGCTCAGTATACCACCCAGGTGACTGTTCAGTATACCACCCTGGTGACTGTTCAGTATACCACCCTGGTGACTGCTCAGTATACCACCCTGGTGACTGTTCAGTATACCACCCAGGTGACTGTTCAGTATACCACCCTGGTGACTGTTCAGTATACCACCCTGGTGACTGCTCAGTATACCACCCAGGTGACTGCTCAGTATACCACCCAGGTGACTGCTCAGTATACCACCCAGGTGACTGCTCAGTATACCGCCCTGGTGACTGCTCAGTATACCACCCAGGTGACTGCTCAGTATACCACCCAGGTGACTGCTCAGTATACCACCCTGGTGACTGCTCAGTATACCACCCAGGTGACTGCTCAGTATACCACCCTGGTGACTGCTCAGTATACCACCCAGGTGACTGCTCAGTATACCACCCAGGTGACTGCTCAGTATACCGCCCTGGTGACTGCTCAGTATACCACCCTGGTGACTGCTCAGTATACCACCCAGGTGACTGCTCAGTATACCACCCTGGTGACTGCTCAGTATACCACCCAGGTGACTGTTCAGTATACCACCCAGGTGACTGCTCAGTATACCACCCTGGTGACTGCTCAGTATACCACCCAGGTGACTGCTCAGTATACCACCCTGGTGACTGCTCAGTATACCACCCTGGTGACTGCTCAGTATACCACCCAGGTGACTGCTCAGTATACCACCCTGGTGACTGCTCAGTATACCGCCCTGGTGACTGCTCAGTATACCACCCTGGTGACTGCTCAGTATACCACCCAGGTGACTGCTCAGTATACCACCCTGGTGACTGCTCAGTATACCACCCAGGTGACTGTTCAGTATACCACCCAGGTGACTGCTCAGTATACCACCCTGGTGACTGCTCAGTATACCACCCAGGTGACTGCTCAGTATACCACCCTGGTGACTGCTCAGTATACCGCCCTGGTGACTGCTCAGTATACCACCCTGGTGACTGCTCAGTATACCACCCAGGTGACTGCTCAGTATACCGCCCTGGTGACTGCTCAGTATACCACCCAGGTGACTGTTCAGTATACCACCCAGGTGACTGCTCAGTATACCACCCTGGTGACTGCTCAGTATACCACCCTGGTGACTGCTCAGTATACCGGCCTGGTGGATCTAGGTTGCGTGAGAGGGAGGCTGAGATAACTAGGTATTGGCTGGGAGATCTGAAGGATCTCCCAGCCCGCTAGGAGGTGGAGGCCCGCTAGGACTAAGACACCCGCCTCGCCCGCAAATGAGGTCATTTTCCTCCGATCCTGTGAGGATCTTGTGAGGATTCTGTGAGGATCTTGTGAGGATTCTGTGAGGATCTTGTGAGGATCTGCCTGTGCTAATAATTCGTACGTCTGATCACCGGTAAAAGCGTAATCCTTGAAATAATTAGGAATTAAATCAAAGTTAACCGCTCGCTGGGGGGGAAAGCATGAATTGGCGGGCCTGTGGCGGCGTCATGTTGGTCAGCCCCGTGATCCATGTTGGCGGCATCAGCCTCCTGGTTCCCGCCAAACCTTCACGGTTCCCGCCAAACCCTCATGGTTCCCGCCACACCCTCAAGGTTCCCGCCAAAACCACACGGTTCCCGCCAAATCCTCACGGTTCCCGCCAAACCCTCATGGTTCCCGCCACACCCTCAAGGTTCCCGCCAAAACCACACGGTTCCCGCCAAATCCTCACGGTTCCCGCCAAAACCACACGGTTCCCGCCAAAACCACACGGTTCCCGCAAAACCCTCACGGTTCCCGCAAAACCCTCACGGTTCCCGGCAAAATCACACGGTTCCCGCCAAACTTTCATGATTCCCGCCAAACCTTCACGGTTCCCGCCAAAATCACACGGTTCCCGCCAAACTTTCATGATTCCCGCCAAACCTTCACGGTTCCCGCCAAACCTTCACGGTTCCCGCCAAAACCACTCGGTTCCCGCCAAACCTTCACGGTTCCAGCCAAATCCTCATGGTTCCCGCCAAACCTTCACGGTTCCAGCCAAATCCTCATGGTTCCCGCCAAAACCACACGGTTCCCGCCAAACCACACTGTTCCCGCCAAACCCTCACGGTTCCCGCCAAAACCACACGGTTCCCGCCAAACTTTCACGGTTCCCGCCAAAACCACACGGTTCCCGCCAAACCCTCATGGTTCCCGCCAAAACCACACGGTTCCCGCCAAACCCTCATGGTTCCCGCCAAAACCACTCTTGCATGAACCACCCTGACGCATGGACACGCGGTTCCATTTCACCGTCTGAAATTGTTTATCTACAACATATGATGACTCAAATTCCTGACCTTGATTGTTGTCACAATTCCTGGGTCATTATGGACCAAGTAGGCTGAACACCTCGTTTCTGCCCCAAGTACTGATCTGGCACACTCAAGCGAGAAGACCACTCAGCTACAACACTCCCTCTGACGACTTATCATCATCAATACAATACCGTCACCAACTCTCCCGTAAATCGCACTAAATCTTGATGTATGAGCATTAGAAGCTAAAATTTACCTCGTTGAAAATTCTTTCAAGACGTGCTAAAGATTTACCAACTGCCAGTTATAAGCTGCGAGTTAAGCAATAAGCTGCGAGTTTAGCAATAAGCTGTGAGTTAAGCAATAAGCTGTGAGTTAAGCAATAAGCTGTGAGTTTAGCAATAAGCTGTGAGTTAAGCAATAAGCTGCGAGTTAAGCAATAAGCTGTGAGTTAAGCAATAAGCTGCGAGTTAAGCAATAAGCTGCGAGTTAAGCAATAAGCTGCGAGTTAAGCAATAAGCTGCGAGTTAAGCAATAAGCTGCGAGTTAAGCAATAAGCTGTGAGTTAAGCAATAAGCTGTGAGTTAAGCAATAAGCTGTGAGTTAAGCAATAAGCTGTGAGTTAAGCAATAAGCTGTGAGTTAAGCAATAAGCTGCGAGTTAAGCAATAAGCTGTGAGTTAAGCAATAAGCTGTGAGTTAAGCAATAAGCTGCGAGTTAAGCAATAAGCTGTGAGTTAAGCAATAAGCTGTGAGTTAAGCAATAAGCTGTGAGTTAAGCAATAAGCTGCGAGTTAAGCAATAAGCTGTGAGTTAAGCAATAAGCTGTGAGTTAAGCAATAAGCTGCGAGTTAAGCAATAAGCTGCGAGTTAAGCAATAAGCTGTGAGTTAAGCAATAAGCTGTGAGTTAAGCAATAAGCTGTGAGTTAAGCAATAAGCTGCGAGTTAAGCATAATATTGTCTCTATGCACTAGTAGACAGATCCACTTATTTCTGTATACAAACAAATATACTTCAAGCTGTAACTTCTAATATACTTCTAACAAAAATAAAGACATAAATGAATGGATTGTTTGTTAGAGGCGTCCAGAACACGTCTTTGACGTGTTCAGATGGTGGTGGGGGAGGAGGAGGGGCTCAGCGTCTGGGGTGCTCTCGGACGCAGGTTCGAATCCTCGTCACGGCCCTTGTGAATTTGTTCAGGGAGGAAAGGAAAGAGGAAAGTTTTTTTTTTTTTTTTCGTTTCTGCAGCCGTTATCACCAACACATATTCCGATACTAATATTAAACGGTCGTTGATCTTCATGTTTCGTGGTTAATGGTTCGAGTGCCTGTTTTGTTCCTTGTTGACCCGTTGTTCTCATTCTCACCCTCTACCTCTTGTTGTTGTTGTTGATTCGCTACCTGCAACGAAGTTCCAAGTAGCACGGGCTATGGTGAGCCCGTATTCTACCTCTTTCTTCGCGGGTACTTCGTGTCAAGTACACGAAGTGTCAAGTCCTTCTACTACCTTCGTAATTCCACAATAAGCTTTTTTTTTTCCTTTCCGTATTCTTTCTACGTGGACCCCGAAGCTCCCATTTTCTGGAGTAGACTTTCCAACGAAGCCTTTACATCCCTTAGCCGCTCCTCCTACTGGTATTAGTGGCTCGCCTCGCTGGCTTCACTCTCATCACCCCCCCCCCCACCTCCCCCAAAACTAACTAACTCTCTCTCTCTCTCTCTCTCTCTCTCTCTCTCTCTCTCTCTCTCTCTCTCTCTCTCTCTCTCTCTCTCTCTCTCTCTCTCTCTCTCTCTCTCTCTCTCTCTCTCTCTCTCATTTCTCATTTATTTGCAATAGTTTTTTCCTAGTAATTGCTCGTATATTCCACTTCTTTCCTCCGTTTCTCATTTGTTTCTTGTCTCTGTGCAATCTTTCCGCACACTTTTTTGTTTGTCCTCAGTATTTTTTTATTATTATTATTTTTCTACCACAGACGTGGCCGGACATTTACAATGCTAACCAGCATATATACATTTTCTTCTGTCCTCCATGGACAGGGTGAGAGATGTGTTAAACATATAGTTCAAGGGTGTATTGAACAATCAACCAGAGAAGGTGATTCGGTGCTTTTAAAATGCTAAGCTAACCTACATACGTAAATACATAGATACACAGATTAACGTATGTCCTACATAAAGTGTTCGATGTGCCTTTTACATAGTTCTCAGTGGCTGTCTCTTGCTCTCGGAATTTCCCCTAATTCTTTTATATTTTGCTATATGTTATCTTGAGATGATTTCGGGGCTTTTTAGTGTCCCCGCGGCCCGGTCCTCGACCAGGCCTCCACCCCCAGGAAGCAGCCCGTGACAGCTGACTAACACCCAGGTACCTATTTTACTGCTAGGTAACAGGGGCATAGGGTGAAAGAAACTCTGCCCAATGTTTCTCGCCGGCGCCTGGGATTGAACCCGGGACCACAGGATCACAAGTCCAGCGTGCTGTCCGCTCGGCCGACCGGCTCCCCTACGTTTCACTTGCCTTTTTTTTTCGTCTGTGTTTCTTGCAGCTCTAACTTACATATATATATCAGCTATTTCCTTACTCTTCGTTTGTTCCTTGTGGAGCTCCTCGTGTATGGCTTCTGCTGTTGGAGAAGTACCTCTTTGATACCTCTTTCTTCCCAGCTCCAGTCTTCCTTCTCTTGATCCCCTTCACTATCCCGCACCTTCCCATATACCTCCCCTTCCCTCAAACCCTCTCCCATTTCCCCTCTTACACGCCCTCGTCAGCCCAATCTTCCACCTATCTTCTCCTTTCCCCTCTCCTGTCTTTCTAACTCTCAACTTTCCCCTCCCCCACCCATTTTGTCCACCTATCAAGGTCCATCTTGCCCACTTATCAAGGTCCATCTTGCCCACCTATCAAGGTCCATCTTGTCCACTTATCAAGGTCCACCTTGCCCATCTATCAAGGTCCATCTTGTCCACCTATCAAGGTCCATCTTGTCCACTTATCAAGGTCCATCTTGCCCACCTATCAAGGTCCATCTTGTCCACTTATCAAGGTCCATCTTGCCCACCTATCAAGGTCCATCTTGTCCACTTATCAAGGTCCACCTTGCCCACTTATCAAGGTCCATCTTGCCCACTTATCAAGGTCCATCTTGCCCACTTATCAAGGTCCATCTTGTCCACCTATCAAGGTCCATCTTGTCCACTTATCAAGGTCCATCTTGCCCACCTATCAAGGTCCATCTTGTCCACTTATCAAGGTCCACCTTGCCCACTTATCAAGGTCCATCTTGCCCACCTATCAAGGTCCATCTTGTCCACTTATCAAGGTCCATCTTGCCCACTTATCAAGGTCCACCTTGCCCACTTATCAAGGTCCATCTTGCCCACCTATCAAGGTCCATCTTGCCCACCTATCAAGGTCCATCTTGCCCACTTATCAAGGTCCATCTTGCCCACCTATCAAGGTCCATCTTGCCCACCTATCAAGGTCCATCTTGCCCACTTATCAAGGTCCATCTTGCCCACTTATCAAGGTCCATCTTGCTATGCTGCGTGACCTGATCTCTCCCGTTTTTCCACAACTATTCATGCTTGACTGGAGGAAATATTGCCATATGCTCCTGCCAGTGAGCATATGGCAATGAGTCTCTTGCCCTAAGGCAACATCACAGGTTTAACAACCAAGTCATCATCAGGTTATGTTCGTCCAAGCTGCGGCAGACTTGAAGAATTTGGTTTTCTGTAAACAAAATTCTCGGGTACACTCAAATAGTTTTCGAATTCTATAATTCATATTTTGTTCAATAATACACTGTATTAGCATAACCAAATTTAATGAAACCTAACCAAACCAAACTTTAACCTAAAGTAACCATAACATAACCTAACTTTAGATAAAGAGTAGATAATAGTAGTAATATCTTAGTATTGAATCCTTTACCTCCAGGGGATCTCCTCCGCGAGGACAGGATGAATTATTTGTATTTTTAGTACGTGTTTATACGTATTTATACGTATTTATATTTACAAGTATTTATAGAGGTGAAATTCATATACGAAAAAAAGAGAGAGAGCGTAGTACTGTTCAAGAAAAGTTGAAATATATTATTATTTGTATCATGTGTAGAGCAGCCCGTTATCATAAGGGCCAAATGCTCGCTAATCCAGCGACCTGTTTATAAATGAAAAATACTTTACTCATAACACACAACTAATTATATTCCACTATTGCTTTACTCTCTTCCTGTCTTTGAATCACTCCTCTCTAAATGCTCCATACTCGAACTTCAAATAACTATCAACAGAACCACGATAACTCACCTAACCAATCGTATATAGGTCCACCGTTTGGGGTTACACAGCATGTTAACACTGAGTGTGTCTTTGGTTACACAGCATGTTAACACTGAGTGTGTCTTTGGTTACACAGCATGTTAACACTGAATGTGTCTTTGGTTACACAACATGTTAACACTGAGTGTGTCTTTGGTTACACAGCATGTTAACACTGAGTGTGTCTTTGGTTACACAACATGTTAACACTGAGTGTGTCTTTGGTTACACAGCATGTTAACACTGAGTGTGTCTTTGGTTACACAGCATGTTAACACTGAGTGTGTCTTTGGTTACACAACATGTTAACACTGAGTGTGTCTTTGGTTACACAACATGTTAACACTGAGTGTGTCTTTGGTTACACAGCATGTTAACACTGAGTGTGTCTTTGGTTACACAGCATGTTAACACTGAGTGTGTCTTTGGTTACACAGCATGTTAACACTGAGTGTGTCTTTGGTTACACAGCATGTTAACACTGAGTGTGTCTTTGGTTACACAGCATGTTAACACTGAGTGTGTCTTTGGTTACACAACATGTTAACACTGAGTGTGTCTTTGGTTACACAACATGTTAACACTGAGTGTGTCTTTGGTTACACAGCATGTTAACACTGAGTGTGTCTTTGGTTACACAGCATGTTAACACTGAATGTGTCTTTGGTTACACAACATGTTAACACTGAGTGTGTCTTTGGTTACACAGCATGTTAACACTGAGTGTGTCTTTGGTTACACAACATGTTAACACTGAGTGTGTCTTTGGTTACACAGCATGTTAACACTGAGTGTGTCTTTGGTTACACAGCATGTTAACACTGAGTGTGTCTTTGGTTACACAGCATGTTAACACTGAGTGTGTCTTTGGTTACACAACATGTTAACACTGAGTGTGTCTTTGGTTACACAGCATGTTAACACTGAGTGTGTCTTTGGTTACACAGCATGTTAACACTGAGTGTGTCTTTGGTTACACAGCATGTTAACACTGAGTGTGTCTTTGGTTACACAACATGTTAACACTGAGTGTGTCTTTGGTTACACAACATGTTAACACTGAGTGTGTCTTTGGTTACACAGCATGTTAACACTGAGTGTGTCTTTGGTTACACAGCACGTTAACACTGAGTGTGTCTTTGGTTACACAGCATGTTAACACTGAGTGTGTCTTTGGTTACACAACACGTTAACACTGAGTGTGTCTTTGGTTACACAGCACGTTAACACTGAGTGTGTCTTTGGTTACACAGCATGTTAACACTGAGTGTGTCGGGGTCAGTCGCGCCCTGAACGTCCCTCAGTGTTTCTTCACTAATAAACAATGGATTTGGCGACCGGATTAACGCGCATTTGTGGTCATTGTTCACGAGGTGGGGAAGCCTCGCAAGCTCTGACAGTGAACGTAATGGATTCGACAACTTAGGGGCTCAAATTTGGCTTGTTTTAACTTGTATGTTGGCCAGGATGTTCCTGGTGACCTAGCCTCGTGCACCAGGATGTTCCTGGTGACCTAGCCTCGTGCACCAGGATGTTCCTGGTGACCTAGCCTCGTGCACCAGGATGTTCCTGGTGACCTAGCCTCGTGCACCAGGATGTTCCTGGTGACCTAGCCTCGTGCACCAGGATGTTCCTGGTGACTTAGCCTCGTGCAGTGGCCCGGTCACTGGGGGTGTGTGCCGGGCGGAGCACAGCCTCGCCGTAAGGGCTGCCAGCCATATATTCCCTTCACATGCGAAGTCTTGGAAGGCTGATTAAGCCATGAATTTTCGGGTCTGCCTGGTTGTATCTCACTCCCGCCTCGGGTAATTCCTTACTCTTTAATTACTGACTCCCGTTGTGGTCTAAGTTAGATGGATTACTTTGCTCTCTCTCTGTCTCTCTCTCTCTCTCTCTCTCTCTCTCTCTCTCTCTCTCTCTCTCTCTCTCTCTCTCTCTCTCTCTCTCTCTCTCTCTCTCTCTCTCTCTCTCTCTCTCTCTCTCTCTCTCTCTCATCCTCTTCCCTCTACCACCTCCTTCGCCTCCATTACTCTTCATCATTCCACTTGGCCAGTATCTGTGATCCTGAAGAATGTCTTCCCTAAGTTTCTCTGTTTCATCTGTATTTACTATTTCTTTCCCGTGTCCCCTCCTATGTGTGTCCCCTCCTGTGTCCCCTCCTATGTGTGTCCCCTCCTGTGTCCCCTCCTATGTGTGTCCCCTCCTGTGTCCCCTCCTATGTGTGTCCCCTCCTGTGTCCCCTCCTGTGTCCCCTCGTGCTGTTTCTTCCTGTGTTGTACAGTGTGACGTCGTCCGGTGTCTGTGGGCATCACGCATGTTCTGTTGTTCTCTTCTGTGTGGGAGTGACAGTCAGGAGCTCTGACTGTCTCGTAGCTCCGGTAATTTTACGAGCCGCTGGAGGCGGGGTTCACGCTGGGCGGTTCCACAGGGGGCGGTTCCGCAGGGGGCGGTTCCACAGGGGGCGGTTCTCTCTCCGCGGCCGGAATGGGTTCTTGGTGAGGTTCTTGAAGGCTCGTCTTAGGCTTGTGGGATTATCGTGTCTGCTGCTGATGGTGTTCTCTTATTTCGTCTTGCTGTGAAGCACATGGAGGTTGTTTAATTTTCTTGAGTAAATTACCTAAAGGTTCTACTCTGGAGGCTCTACTCTGGAGGCTCTACTCTGGAGGCTCTACTCTGGGGGCTCTACTCTGGAGGCTCTACTCTGGAGGCTCTACTCTGGAGGCTCTACTCTGGGGCTCTACTCTGGAGGCTCTACTCTGGAGGCTCTACTTTGGAGGCTCTACTCTGGAGGCTCTACTCTGGAGGCTCTACTCTGGAGGCTCTACTCTGTCTACGGAAAGTTATTGCTTGTATTTGTGTATATGTTTGTGTGTGTATGTACTCACCTAGTTGTGCTTGCAGAGGCTGAGCTCTGGCTCTTTGGTCCCGCCTCTCAACTGTCAACCCCCAAGAAGCAGCCCATAACAGCTGTCTAACTCCCAGGTACCTATTTACTGCTAGGTAACAGGGCCATCAGGGTAAAAGAAACTCTGCCCATTTGTCTCTGCCTAGTCCGGGAATCGAACCCGGGCCTCAGGATTAAGAGTCCCACGCGCTGTCCACTCAACTACCAGACCTGTGTGTGAGTGTGTGTGTGTGTGTGTGTGTGTGTGTGTGTGTGTGTGTGTGTGTGTGTGTGTGTGTGTGTGTGTGTGTGTGTGTGTGTGTGTGTGTGTGTGTGTGTGAGTGTGTGTACTCACCTATATGTACTCACCTATATGTGCTTGCAGGATCGAGCATTGACTCTTGGATCCCGCCTTTCTAGCTATCGGTTGTTTACAGCAATGACTCCTGTCCCATTTCCCTATCATACCTAGTTTTAAAAGTATGAATAGTATTTGCTTCCACAACCTGTTCCCCAAGTGCATTCCATTTTTCTACTACTCTCACGCTAAAAGAAAACTTCCTAACATCTCTGTGACTCATCTGAGTTTCCAGTTTCCACCCATGTCCCCTCGTTCTGTTATTATTACGTGTGAACATTTCATCTATTTCCACTTTGTCAATTCCCTGAGTATTTTATATGTCCCTATCATATCTCCTCTCTCCCTTCTTTTCTCTAGTGTCGTAAGGTTCAGTTCCTTCAGCCGCTCTTCATATCCCATCCCTCGTAGCTCTGGGACAAGCCTCGTCGCAAACCTCTGAACCTTCTCCAGTTTCTTTATGTGTTTCTTCAGGTGGGGGCTCCATGATGGCGCGGCATACTCTAAGACGGGTCTCACGTAGGCAGTGTAAAGCGCCCTAAAAGCTTCCTCATTTAGGTTTCTGAATGAAGTTCTAATTTTCGCCAGTGTAGAGTACGCTGCTGTCGTTATCCTATTTATATGTGCCTCAGGAGTTAGATTAGGTGTCACATCCACTCCCAGGTCTCTTTCTCGAATCGTTACAGGTAGGCTGTTCCCCTTCATTGTGTACTGTCCCTTTGGTCTCCTGTCACCTGATCCCATTTCCATAACTTTACATTTACTGGTGTTAAACTCCAGTAGCCATTTCCCTGACCATCTCTGCAGCCTGTTTAAGTCCTCTTGGAGGATCCTACAATCCTCGTCTGTCACAACTCTTCTCATTAATTTTGCGTCATCTGCAAACATTGACATGTATGATTCCACTCCTGTAAACATATCATTTACGTAAATTAGAAAGAGGATTGGTCCCAGCACCGATCCTTGAGGTACTCCACTTGTTACTGTTCGCCAGTCCGACTTTTCGCCCCTTACCATTACCCTCTGGCTCCTTCCTGTTAGGTAGTTCTTCACCCATACTAGGGCCTTTC